GTTACCTCAAGATGTGCAGAAATTATGCAATCGTCTATCATTTTCATTTATGGCCTTTTAAACTTACAATAGCAACTCTAATTGCTACTGGAGACCTCACCCGGGCGAGAAAGCGAATGGTTCAGACGAAGAGGTTCTCGCGTCTCACAAAGACTACAACGGAATCTCCTCACTGAAACAATGGATTCCTTTTAAACCGACGTACTCCAAATCCTATAAGGGAAGAAGACAACAGTTGTCCAACAATAGTTCATGAACACTGCACCAGGAGGGTTTGACTTCAGATGCTTCTGCACTCGACTTTATTTTGTTTTCATTGAAATAATCAGATAAATTAGCATCAATTTGGAACTTTATTACTCTTAAACTTTGCCCATCAAAAATAAAAAAATTAAACCGAATTTAGGTTCTGACATATTCGTCCTACGTATACTAAATTAGTGAAGATGAAAACACTAAAGTATTATCCTGATATTCGTAGGCGGGTATGCAATTTTCGCTCTGTTTCTTTAACGCAATTGCAGTCTTCTTTTTGATAAGGTATCTTGTAGACAACCGGAATTTTTTCAGCAGGGGGCAGTCTGTTTTCAGGTTGCATCGCACGGCGGCGTATTGTTGCCTGAGGTCGATGAGATATGTATACTCCAAAGAGCTGTAAAAGTCGAGACACTGTTTCGGAGATTCCTTTTAGCCGTTGTCTATTCACTCGGCACTTGATTTGTCTGATCTAGGAGTTCGGGTACCCATTAGCCTGGAAGATTTCATGAAGATATTATTTTTCAGTTCTTCAGTCAGCTAGGGTAATGTCACGTTTTTCAACTCACTGGAGAAGAGTTCGAACGCAGCTACGTTTGTGAGACAGGTAATGATTGCTATTGAAGTGTAGTATTTGCTTCGCGCTTGTGGCTTCCCTGAATACTGCGGGTTGCAGTGGTCCAGTCGAATACCAACGCACAAGGAAGAACGGGAGTTGGTTATTGCTTTAATCTTCTACTGTGATGTGGGTAATTGGGTCAGTTGAGTTAAGTAACTCTCTCAGGCTTTCGACGTCTGTTC